AGATTATATATATCTAAACGGTGAAAAATACCGTCCCCAAGATATATCACCTATCAATATTTTTAGCTTTGTTACACTCAAGAACGAAATTCTTGATTTTCTAGGATGGCCCTACTACATCTTAGAAAAATTGACTATTTTATACGCAATGTTTAACTTTATTGGATTTCTTTTCTCACTTTTAAAAGGAATCTATAACACATGTGCTATACACACACAAGTAAACAGACAAGCAAGTGTACTCTTTGCAGGATTTTTTGGAATCTTTTCTACATCTATAAACAAAATTCTTCTAGACGCACAAATAAAAGAATACAATACAAAAATAGCAACACGACAGAACACATATGACGAAGAACATAACAATGTAGACACAACGCCAACAGCACCACAGTTACCACCCTTACCACATAACCATCCACTATCCCTAGTCCCACGAAATTTTCGAAATTTAGCAATTACACATAATCCAAATTTTCGACCAGCCATATCACAAAGTCCCATCCAACATATAATGACACACCAATCACAAGATGATAGTACTTATGAACAAATTATTGAACAACCCCATACCACCACTTTTCAGTCTCAAAATAATAATTTTTTTAGCCCACGATGAGCCGACAACTTGGATCCCTACACCGTTCAAATTCCCACCCAACCAACCTTACTACTCCCATTACAAAAATACCACTTTTTGCTTTCCCGCCACCCGATTTCCCAACCAGTAATGTAACATCCGGCATGAATTCCGATACTAATTCACACATCTCAGTTTTATACTCCACCTCACAACTCAATAACCCGAATATTGAAACCCCCGATGAATTTGCCGACTCTGAACCATCTCCATCTAATCATTTTCACACCAATTTCTTAAATTTTTCCCAACCCCCTTTTCAACCCATACTACCAAATAACCCTGACCCAATCAATTCTACACCCTCTTATGCTTCCCAAGTCACTCCAACCTACTCCTCACTTCACTCAGACCAATCATCTCATTCTCCAGACACCCCCCGAATCTCCCCAGAATTAGATAATTTCATTACCCTACAACAACAACCCTACCACATTGACACCCCAACCATAAACCAAATCTCATCCACAATAGACTCATCCAACCCTCCTACCCCTACACCCTCTTCATTTTATACCGAATCATTAGCACCATCATCCACATCTACCGAATCTTCACTCAGCACTAATAGAGCTTACCGCACTTTTAAAAGAAAGTTCCCCAACCATCCTTTCCCAGCAAAACCAGGAACAGCCCGTGAATATATAAATCACCCAAATCACACTAACACAAAAGAATTTTTAGCTATCACCTTACCCTCATTTCCACAATACACCTTAAACACCCCTCACGACACTAAAGAAACACGCAGCTTTGTAGACGAATACGTTTTAATGCCTACCCTTCCTTGGACCTCATATTATCATTTTACTAATCCCCTTTGCTTACCTTTATCTAACACTCACATCGATATAGAACAAAATAAGGACATGCTATACCGACTCACTACACCACTAACACCTAGACAATTTACTTACATTGGATATAAAAAATCACTAAAAACACACACTGCACCCCGAGCTAATGAATATACACTAGAATATTACGATCATAACATCATCAGAACTAACCAAGATCAATTCTTAGACGACGATCGCTTCGCTAATCCACAAATCACCGAGAAATTTTTCATTAAGACACCATATGTATTTACACTAAATATCTTCGATCGCAAGTTTGACCACATTATTTCAGAAGCACTAACAGACACACAAGCCTACGAAAGTTTTAAAGAACGCTTCCAAACATTTTCACTAACCTTTCATTTCCTTGCACCACATGAAAGAGATTTGCACTGCTCACACGATATTATGTTGCGTACTAAACAAACACACACATATATTTATTATCGTTTCATCCAAAATCACTTTGACCTACACACTCCCTCCAGACAACCACACCATCGTTTTCAATTCATCAATTCCAAATACACCCCACCATTCTTTCTTAACTTCACATATTGCATTAAAGATACTAACCTTCATGGTATTCTTCGAAATTATGATCCCATAACCTAAATGTATATTTTTGGTCCCATCACCAAGACCTTCAACGCAGAAGAATCCCGACCCTTCCTTATCCCACACGAGTTTGTACAACCTATAGAAATCCCCATTTTAGAATTCATCCATAACACTAAATTCAATCACAAATTATATAATCTAATCCAAAACACACCTTATGAATTTGCAGTTGGCACTGAAGAACTAACCACCATTAAAGCACTTCAATTGCTTTGGCCACTGCTTCAAACTAAAAATATCATCCGCATCTTAGCTAAACTACTAACAACTTCCGATCTCATCCACGACATCTTCCCCCACGGTTTCTTCCCCGACGACTAACAGGTAAGTATGAATTATACATATTACTAACTAATTAAAATATTAGAAACTCACCATTCTTTATCCATGTTTTCTTTAGAACTTTAGCCTTCATCCAACGATCATCTGGAAAATTCACAAAAGACAAATAAAAAGTAGCAAACTTCTTCAAAAACTGTTTAAAACCCTATTAAATTTTTGCACCAACAGTTAAATAAATATAATACCAATGCAGTAAATTAATTTATAAATTTTTTCCCAAATGCAGTAAATCTACTAATGATGAAAATTTGTAGCTTAATTTTCCCCAACAACTAGCAGTAAAATTGAAACTCTATGTAGTAAATTAATAAGGATCAAATGCAGTACTAACCTTTTGATATTTCCATTCATTCGCACAAACATTCTATCCACACTCGCACAGCTCGCCCACGAAGAATTGTTTAAAATAATGAATTTCAGTTTCAAGCTTTCACACTCAACAACTCTAACACACGATAACAAGTTTCAAACGTTCCTTTAACCCGGTTGGAAAGGAATTATATACTAAACAAAACTAACCAATGCAGCTTACTAAACACCACAACACATAGAATAACAGCATGATTAAGAAAAGAAAACCAAACGGTACCCAAACCGGATTAACCCAGTTTAAAACTGGATAATTTATTCTTTTGAAGACTATTATAAAGTCTAAGAAAGAAATAAAAAAACACAAAAAAGTCGAAAGACAAACCCATACCACAAACAATTTGATTTTTGAAAAAAAGGACACAACCAACAAAACATAAGAGAAACCACAACAAACCCAACATAAAACGTTGTCACATAACAGGACCTCTCACAAAAACCGCATGCAATCATACTCCCACTCCTGGCCTAACCCACCAGAAGAGGACGTCCTGAGCATGCTCTATAGCCGGCCTAACCCACCGTGCTACATCCACGCTTTGTGACCACACTCCTATTTTTAATAAGAGCTACTCAAGGGTGAGTAACTCTTCAAAATAACTGAACTAAAACAAAAAGCTTTTGTGAAAACAACTAACTAAAATCATAATTAAAAAATATTAAACTAATAAAAGTTTTATAAAATGTAAATTACATTATGCAATACATAGATCAGAATACAACACCAAGGACGAACATCCAACGACAAAACGACCCCACTACACTCGAGAAAGAATGGCCAACTACAATCAATATGCCGCTCACAATCACAACTCAAAGGATTTAGAGTACGACTTGACTTCGCAGAAAAGGACTTCATTGAACTAGAACAATGACCACCTCGATGTTCAAGTATACGTACAGATCCGAGTAACCAGGCATCCCCTCCACGCACAATCTCCACGCCATTCCTAGACAAGATCAAAACACAAAGAAGTTCTCATCAAATGAAACAGAAAAACCTGACATAGCCAACCATTCTGAAATCAGATTTGAGTTTGTTGCAAAGACCCAGTCGTTGTCATAAGATGACACAACGATCGAACCTGGAACTTCTCCAACAAGAGAACCCAGAAGAAATATGATGTTCGCCAAATATCAACGTCCATCATCCATCCTTCGAATTGCAGAAAAACTATTCTAAAAAACTCTGTAAAACCCGGATGGGTGGAACCTGATCTAAACTTCATTTTATGATTGGATAAATTAGATATTTTACCAATGTAAAGTATTTAATATTAACCAATCATGATCCATCTAACTAACAACCCACTTATTTGTAAGTGCTGAAATTACTTGTAATTTCAGCAACAGAGAGATTTGAATTTAACTTAGAAATTAGTTGACTCTCCAAGAAGACTTCAGCAACCGCAATAAACCAGTATACCCTAGATCTATTGAGCCTAGCAGAGACTAGTTAAACAACCTGAGACTAGATAAGTATAAGAGTAAGATTAGGATCGGTATTAGACTAAGAAGTTGCACGAATCTATCCGGCCGAAAATAAGATAGCGTGACGAGCAGACGGTGTACCCTATCCGAAATTACTCTATGAGTTATACCCATCGGTCTTAACTCAGTAGTCCTGGATATACTAATATTGGATTTTTTTCCTTTTCTCTTAATAAAATTTTTCAAAAACTCTGAAGTTTCTTCTTTTTTTGTATGACTTGTTTTTTCTATGCCTTGATCAATGTCTGGTAATTTAAAAGTTCAAATTCTATAAATAATCATCTTTGAAATTTTTTGACAAATTTAAAAATTCGTTACTTTCGTTATATTATTTGTGTGAGACAAAATTAAAGCATTTCAGGCTAATTCCAATGCATTTTAAATGCGATACGGCTAAACCATTGGTTACTTCGTTTGAGTAACTAAGGTTGAGGTCATTTGTGTTCGGTTACGAACACAACCAAAAAATTTTGAGAAATTAAAATGTAAAAAATCAATATTTTTGGTTTATGGAAAAATGCTAGTCATACAATTTCCATATTTGAAAAATACAAATCATAGACCTTTCATGCAATTTTCTGTACGTATGGAATTGTATGACAAGCTTTTTTCTATATATGGAAATTGTGTGACTAGCCTTTTTGGTCAACCCGGGTTGGCAATAGTGTGTGTGTGTGTGTGTGTGTGTGACTTACAGAGGAGTGTGAACACATCCTGGTCCATGAGGGGCAGGAAGGACCAGTTGTCGCTGTGGGCCAGTTTGAGTTTGTCGTGCTGGACGGAGTTGCAGAGGATGAGGTCGGGGTATCTGGTGCCCTCCTGGGTGGAGTAATAGTACATGGTGCTGGTGGGGCGCTGGTTGTACTCGAGGAAGTTGTTGAGGGTGAAGCGGGCGAACTGCCAGAGGATGCAGAGGGAACAGACCAGACGGAGAACTGTGAGCACACACAGACTCCTCTTCTGCGCAGAAGAGTGCTCCTTCCACATCATCCCCCTCCGCCCACCAAACAGAGTCTCCTTCATGCACAACTCACACCAACAGAACAGAACAGACCAACTACACACTCCTCTTTAGGATGGATCAGCAAAAAGAATATCGATAAGCTAACAAATTCAACCAAGTTTGTGAACGAACTCTACAATAGACAGCCTTTTCAAAATAATTAAACACATTAAGAAAACTTCTGCCTTTCAAACCTTCTGCTCTGTTCAATAAAAGCTTCCAATTGAAAGTTTTGGAAATTAAATTCACATGTTTGCTCTGTGGCAAACTGATTTTTTCCAAAGATTTCTGAAGAAAAGTTTGAAAGTAAAATGAATAAAGTTGGGCGGGAACAACCAAAAACCAAATGCTTCAAAATAGTTACATACTCAAGTACCACCAATTGGACTAACTAACGAGACGATTCGACATAATTACCAACTGTTGGTTAGTTTTACACAGTAAAGTTTTTTTCATGTGAAAGTGTACGCCATTTTTTGAAAGGAAACTTTTAGTTCATTGAAACCAATAAGTTAAAATGAAGTGTACGAGTCGCTAAAACAAGCAGTCGGGCAAAATAAAATATTTCAAAAAAAACAGCAATTCAAATGAGAAGATATCGTAAATGGGAAGTTCCGTAATGGGAAATTTTGTTTTCACACTTAGGAGTTTTAATAAGAGGCTGCATGTGCTACTTAAAAAGTAAGAATTTCTAGTTTAGACTATAAATATTAAGTAGAGCAGACAGGAGACTAAATTGTTTATCAAACAGTGACCCATTTAATTTATGTCAAAAATCTGAAACAAGTGTAGCTCGAAATTTAGTCTGTTTAGAACAAGGAAATAAAAGTTTGAAGTAAGCAAGGGATTTTATTTCAACCAATCGGTCGATATTTCATTTTTTAGCTCCACGCACACCATCGCCGTTATATATTTTTTAAACCATCATGTGTAGGCTTGTTTGCTCTAATTTTTAAAAAGACTTAAAGAGCAGCTATTAAGCCAGAGTTGTAATGATGTTTCCGCACAAAACAAAACAAAACTGCTCGTATCAGGGCAAAGCCCTCAATGTCCCGACTGCCTCTCAAGGTCTATGGAGCAGTATTAACCTGAAAAAAAGAATGTAAAAAATAAAAGTGACTTTTTTTTTAATTTAAATTTTGTAACAATTGAGTTAGGTTCGATGTGGTTAACTCATAGAGTAATTTCGGATAGGGTACACCGTCTGCTCGTCACGCTATCTTATTTTCGGCCGGATAGATTCGTGCAACTTCTTAGTCTAATACCGATCCTAATCTTACTCTTATACTATCTAGTCTCAGGTTGTTTAACTAGTCTCTGCTAGGCTCAATAGATCTAGGGTATACTGGTTTATTGCGGCTGCTGAAGTGCTCGGGAGAGTCCAACTAATTTCTAAGTTAAATTCAAATCTCTCTGGTGCTGAAATTACAAGTAACTTCAGCACTTACAAATAAGTGGGTTGTTAGTTAGATGGATCATGATTGGTTAATATTAAATACTTTACATTGGTAAAACATTTAATTTATCCAATCATAAAATATAGTTTAGATCAGGTTCCACCCATCCGGGTTTTACAGAGTTTTTTAGAACAGTTCTTCTGTAATTCAAGGATGGATGATGGACGTTGGTATTTGGTGAACATCATAATTTTCTTCCGCTTCTTCTTTGTTAAAGAAGTTTCAGGAAGCTGGAGTTAGGGACATAAGACGTTGTGTTCTTCTTGTGACAACGACTGAGTCTCTGCAACAAAATCAATTCTGCTTTCAGAATGGTTGGCTATGTCAGGTTTTTCTGTTCTTCGGGGAGAACTTCTTTTGTGTCTGATCTAGCTTGGGAATGGCGTGGAGATTGTGCGTGGAGGGGATGCCTGGTTACTCGGATCTGTACGTACACTTGAGTCATCGAGGTGGTCATTGGTCTAGTTCAATGAAGTCCTTTTCTGCGAGGTCAAGTCGTACTCTAAATCCTTTGAGTTGTGATTGTGAGCGGCATATTGATTGTAGTTGGTCATTCTCTCTCGAGTGTGGTGGGGTCGTTTTGTCTTTTGATGTTCGTCCTTGGTGTTGTATTCTGATCTATGTATTGCATCATGTGATTTTACATTTTATAAAACTTTTATTAGTTTAATATTTTTTAATAATGAATTTAGTTAGTTGTTTTCACAAAAGCTTTTTGTTTTAGTTCGGTTATTTTGAAGAGTTACTCACACTTGAGTAGCTCTTATTAAAAATAGTGGTGTGGTCACAAAGCGTGGATGTAGCGCGGTGGGTTAGGCCGGCTATAGAGCATGCTCAGGACGTCCTTCCTGGTGGGTTAGGCCAGGAGTGGGAGTATGATTTCATGCGGTTTTTGTGAGGGGTCCTGTTATGTGACAACGTTTTATGTTGGGTTTGTTGTGGTTTTTCTTATGTTTTGTTGGTTGTGTCCTTTTTTCAAAAATCAAATTGTTTGTGGTATGGGTTTGTCTTTCGACTTTTTTGTGTTTTATTATTTCTTTCTTAGACTTTATAATAGTCTTCAAAAGAATAAATTATCCAGTTTTAAACTGGGTTAATCCGGTTTGGGTACCGATGGTTTCCTTTTCTTAGTCATGCTGTTATTCTATGATTTGTGGTATTTAGTAAGCTGCGTTGGTTAGTTTTGTTTAGTATATGATTCCTTTCCAACCGGGTTAAAGGAAAGTTTGAAACATGTTATTATATGTTAGAGTTGTTGAGTGTGAAAACTTGAAACTGAAATTCATTATTTTAAACAATTCTTCGTGGGCGAGCTGTGCGAGTGTGGATAGAATTTCTGTGCGAATGAATGAGAATATCAAAAGGTTAGTACTGCAATTGCATTTTATTAATTTACTGCATAGAATTTGGAAATTTACTGCTAGTTATGGGGGAATTTTAAGTTACAAATTTTCATCATAATTAGATTTACTGCTTGTGGGGAAAATTTTAGAAATGAATTTACTGCATTGGTATTAAATTTATAAATTTATAAGTGTAAGAGATTAATAGAATTTTTGAAATCTGTTTGATGAAATTTGCGATTTTTATTTGTCTTTTGTGGTTTTTGTAGGTGATCGTCGGATGAAGGCTAAAAATCTAAAGAAAACATGAATAAAGTATGGTGAGTTTTTTTTATATTTCAATTAGTTAGTTATATTCATTTAATTCATACTTACCTGTTAGTCGTCGGGGAAAAAACCGTGGGGGAAGATGTCGTGAATTAGTTCTGAAGTTGTTAGTAGTTTAGCTAAGATGCGGATGATATTTTTAGTTTGAAGCAGTGGCCAAAGCAATTGAAGTGCCTTAATAGTGGTTAGTTCTTCAGTGCCAACTGCAAACTCATAAGGTGTGTTTTGGATTAGATTATATAATTTGTGATTGAATTTAGTGTTGTGGATGAATTCTAAAATTGGGATTTCTATAGGTTGTACAAACTCATGCGGGATAAGGAAGGGTCGGGATTCTTCGGCGTTGAAGGTCTTGGTGATGGGACAGAAGATGTACATTTGGGTTATGGGGTCATAATTACGAAGAATACCATGGAGGTTAGTGTCTTTAATACAATATGTGAAATTTAGGAAAAATGGTGAAGTGTATTTGGAATTAATGAATTGAAAACGATGGTGTGGTTGTCTAGAGGGTGTGTGTAGGTCAAAGTGATTTTGGATGAAGCGATAATAACTATATGTGTGGGTTTGTTTAGTGCGCAACATAATATCGTGTGAGCAGTTTAAATCTCTTTCGTGTGGTGCAAGGAAATGAAAGGTTAGTGAAAATATTTGGAAGCGTTCTTTGAAACTTTCGTACGCTTGTGTGTCTGTTAGTGCTTCTGAAATAATGTGATCAAACTTTCGGTCGAAGATGTTTAGTGTGAATATATATGGTGTCTTGATGAAAAATTTCTCGGTAATTTGTGGATTAGCGAAGCGATCGTCGTCTAAGAATTGATCTTGGTTAGCTCTGATGATGTTGTGATCGTAGTATTCGAGTGTATATTCGTTAGCTCTAGGTGCAGTGTGTGTTTTTAGTGATTTTTTATATCCAACGTAAGTAAATTGTCTAGCGGTTAGTGGTGTAGTGAGTCGATATAGCATGTCCGTATTTCGCTCTATATCGATGTGAGTGTTAGATAAAGGTAAGCAAAGAGGGTTAGTAAAATGATAATATGAGGTCCAAGAGAGAGTGGGCATTAAAACGTATTCATCTACAAAGTTGCGTGTTTCGTTAGTGTCGTGGGGGGTGTTTAAGGTGTATTGTGGGAATGAGGGTAAGGTGATGGCTAAAAATTCTTTTGTGTTAGTATGCTTGGGGTGGTTGATGTATTCACGGGCTGTTCCTGGTTTTGCTGGGAAAGGATGGTTGGGGAACTTTCTTTTAAAAGTGCGGTAAGCTCTATTAGTGTTGAGTGAAGATTCAGTTGATGTGGATGATGGTGCTAATGATTCAGTATAATTTGAAGAGGGTGTAGGGGTAGGGGGGTTGGATGAATTTATTGTGGAGGAGATTTGGTTTATGGTTGGGGTATTAAGGTGGTAGGGTTGTTGTTGAAGGGTAATAAAATTATCTAGCTCTGGGGAGATTCGGGGGGTGTCTGGAGAATGAGATGATTGGTCAGAATGGTATGAGGAGTAGGTTGGGGTAACTTGGGAAGCATAAGAGGGTGTGGGAGTGATTGGGTCAGGGTTATTGGATAATATGGGTTGAAAAGGGGGTTGAGAAAAATTAGAAGAGTGATGAAAATTATTGGATGGGGATGGTTCTGAGTCGGCAAATTCATCGGGGGTTTCAATATTCGGGTTATTGAGTTGTGAGATGGAGTATAAAACTGAGATGTGTGAATTAGTATCGGAATTCATGCCTGATGTTACATTATTAGATGGAAAATCGGGTGGCGGAAAAGCAAAAAGTGGTATTATTGGGATTGTGGAGGTAAGATTGGTTGGGTGGGAATTTGATCGGTGTAGTGATCCAAGTTGGCGGCTCATCGTGGGCTAAAAAAATGATTATTTTGAGACTGAAAAGCGGTGGTATGGGGTTGTTCAATAATTTGTTCATAAGTATTATCATCTTGTGACTGGTGTGTCATTATATGTTGAATGGGACTTTGTGATGTGGTGAGTCGAAAATTTGGATTATGTGTGATGGCTAAATTTCGAAAATTTCGTGGGACTAGGGATAGTGGATGGTTATTTGGTAGGGGTGGTAATTGTGGTGCCGTTGGCGTTATGTCTACATTGTTATGTTCTTCGTCGTATGTATTTTGTCGTGTTGTTATTTTTGTGTTATATTCTTTTATTTGTGCGTCTAAAAGAATTTTGTTTATAGATGTAGAAAAGATTCCAAAAAATCCTGCAAAGAGTATGCGTGCTACGCTTGCTTGTCTGTTTACTTGTGTGTGTATAGCACATGTGTTGTAGATTCCTTTTAAAAGTGAGAAAAGAAATCCAATAAAGTTAAACATTGCGTATAAAATAGTCAATTTTTCTAAGATGTAGTAGGGCCATCCTAGAAAATCGAGGATCTCATTTTTGAGTGTAACAAAGCTAAAAATGTTAATTGGTGATATATCTTGGGGACGGTATTTTTCACCGTTTAGATATATATAATCTTTAATGTCTTTAAAATATCCGCTATAGTCTTGCGTGTAGATATCGGCAAATCCTGCGGTTTCTGCAAGTTTGCGTAAATTTTGGTCTATTGATTGTCTTTGTATAGTGTCCATTTGTGTTAATAATTCTTGGAATTGTTGTGTTCTAATGTGATGTTGAATATCTGATTTTGAATAGATTCCTATTGAT